TAATTAAAGAGACTTTGGATAACATGTGTATGTAGTATACATGCATAAGTATGTATGTTTAACATGTGGAAACATGCAGGTCTGAATGGACATGTGTGCCTGTGTGTGTGTAGAACCCAGATTGATGTTGGAAATGGACCTCCATCTCTTTCCACTGTATTCATTGACGCAGGGTCTCGTGATCGAACTTAGAGCTAGTCGACAGGACTGGCCTAGCTAGAGCTTACTCTGAAGAGCCCACCTTTGCCTTCTGAACGTCAGAATTACAGGGAGCTCCACACCCACACAGCATTTAAGTGGACACTGGGGATGTAAACTTGGTAAGTTGAAAAAAAGAATGTGATCTGATTTAAGCTCTTAATTTTGGTTCTGTTTTAATTCTTACCCTCTCAAACTTATGAATATAATACATATATACTCATTTTTAATATAATATTTTATTACGTTTCAATCTGATTCAAATTTTGAGGTTTTTTAAAAAGATGGGGAGTAAGGGTGACTGGAGAGATGGCTCACTGGTTGTCTTCTAGAGGACTTGGATTCTATTCTCAGCATCCACATGGCAGCTTACAACATCTGTAACCCTAGTCCCAGGGGATGTGATGCCTTCCTCACTGGCACCAGGCACACAAGTGGTGCAGATAGACATACACAGGCAAAACACTCATACACACAAATATCAAATAATTGAAAACAGTTTTTTTCATCTTTCAGGATAAGAAGGCATCTAGTCTTAGAGAAATTCAGAGGAGAATCAGAAGGCTCAGCATAGGACAATGAAAAGAATAAAAAAGTGTTTAACTTACTATCTAAACTGGGACATTTCTCACAGTAAAAAGAGAATTCTCATCATTATATCATCGAAGTAAGCCACGGCAGTCCTCTCAAGCAAGAATGCACTCACCATACACCTGAGTGTTTCAGTAATCACAAGCAATCACCACTTCTAAAGAATATTTTTATTGTTTCAGTAAGAATGAATTTTCAGTGTTCCCATGCAGAAAGCACCATGTGTCGTTTGGATATAAAGACAGACTGGACATGTATCCTACTTTACATACATGAGTGCATACAAAAGAGACTCTATGGCAAAACACAGAAGAGGAAAAGATGATTAACACCATAAAACACACAATCAACTTATGGCTGTCCAGGGTAAGATACAGAGCAGAGAGGGGGCACTAAACAGAAGAGCCAACTACCTGCACTCACATAGTCCCACGGCCTGGGTGCCTAAACAGCTGCTTCTGTCCAGATGCCCTTGTTCCTCTACCATAAAATGTACAGGAAACTTTATAGAATGCTGGATCAGAGCAGTACCAGCCACATACTGTCTCAATCTCTGCATTAGCATCCTAAAACGGAAGACTCAATCCAGCAGAAAAAAGAATGGTTCATAAAAGGATACATCAGTCAGAGCTTGAGAGGGTGGAAACTTAGAAGATGTTGGAAGGAATAATTTACATATGCAGTAATACAGAAATAAACGGCAAACCCACCAAGAACATGAAGGAAGTAGTACATACCTCTACAGCTGTGCTGTGCAGTAAGCAGCTGCTAGGCAAACACTGCTGTAGAGTACTTGAAATGAGATTAACTCAGACTAAGATACGATATAAGTAAAATAGACTGTAAAAAAGGCTGCAGACTACTGCAAGTTTTCATACTGATTACATAATAAAATGATAGCTATGTTTAATGTTAGGTTAAATCATAAAAAATAATTTAAAAAGCAAAAACAAAACCCAAAACCTTTCTTTTCCCTTTGAAACAGGGTCTTACTGTGTAGCGTGGACTGCCCTCAGACCTGAGAGTTTCTTTTCTTAGCCTCCCAAGTGGCAGGATTACAACCATGCACCACTTTTAATTTTTTATATTAAAAAAAAAAGTAATTTCTAAAAAACTTAAAATTAGCATCTTAGCTTTCACATTTGGTGCTCATATTTACTCGGATAGCATCTCACTAGAAACCACTATACAAAGCAAGCACTTATGAGAGAAGGCAGGAGGAAAAGTTAGACTGCATAGTGTTTTATATTCTAAGTCAAAGCACTTGGGTCTTTTTGTGTGGGAAACTAAAAGACTTAAGGAAAAGGTCTGTGTTTAAGGAAAATTAACCTGGTGGTCGTGAGTTAAAGAAACAGCAGACACAGGTCAGGAAGGCCAGTAATAAAGCTCCTGCAATAATTTATACAACAAGGACTTCAGCTGCGGTGGTAACTGAAGGAAGATGAAAGAGGGAACACTGGAGACTGCTGCAGAAAAATTCAGCACAATTTACTATTAGAGTAAATATGAAAGTAAAAGGTTTTGATATTAACAACATCCAAATTCAGAGGGGTGGGGAGGGGAAGGGGGAGGGGCAGAAAGATTCATATACCATCAAGAGAAATACAACCGATAGAGGAAAAATATCTAGAATAGAAAACTGTGAGTTCTGTTCTCCACAAGTCTGAACTTCAACTTCATAAAGAATGTAAGAAAGCCATTCAGGATTCACTAACTATATACTATGTACTAGGTAGTTAGAGTTCTAGCAGTGAACACAAAATAAAGTCTCTGTGAAGCCTGGAACAAACAAGATCCGTCAGTGGAGTGTGGTCTGTTATAGTCATCTGGACAGTCCCTAAAATAAAAAGACACTGGAGGGTTTTAAAGAAAGTTTCATATACCCAGCACATTTTAACACTTGCAAATCAGCTGAAAGAAAGCAGGGAAAAGCAGTTACCAAAGAAATGTAATTATCACAGGGGTGAGGACAGTGACAGAGAAAATGGTCCTAGTAAAGAAGGTGGTGAGATATGTTATCCAGAGTCTGGATAACCTAGGGGTGGAACCCAGAGGATTTCCATCAGCGGCAAGTGAGGTGTGAGATAGTGCACGCAATCCAGGACCATTTCAAATGAGACAGCTCAGCTGGCTAAAACCTAGCTACCTGCCTGACATAGAAGTGAAGATGTTCACTAAGAGCATGGGTGTGTGTAACATACACATACATGCACACATATGACTATGAAAGGTCAGTACTCGATAAGGAAATATAAAAGTTAACTGTTGTCTGTACTTAATGAGAGCAGACAAAACTTCAAATTGTCTAAGAATTGGGTCTTCAGTACTACAGCAAAGTATAAAAGTAGGGAAATGAAGGAGCAGCTGGAAAAGGCAAAAGATTAGGGGGAAAGCGATAAACAACAACAAAACCAACAAAATCCCCCAAACCAAGAAACTGAGAAGCTCTAACATCTAGTAAACAAAGTACTTAATGCAGATCAAGAGTGTCAAAAATGCTGCTCTTGGGTCAGCCAGAGGACCTAGAGGCTTTGCCATCAACCTGATGACCTAAATTAGATCCCAGAGATCTACGTGGTGGGAAGAGAACCAACTTCAGAAAGTTGTTTTCTGACCTACAAACACTGGCACGCACACAAATAAATAAACGTAATAAAGATACTCTTGGTACAAGTAAGAGAAATGTGAACTGACTGGTAGATGTAGCATCACCGGTAACACTGCAAAAGAGCAGTTTGGGCCAGATCCGACTCAAGTGTATTCAAGGAGAAAGGAGAAGCTGGAGGCACTGGGCACTGACAAGCTTTCGAGTTATGTATGTATAAGGGAAGGAAAGAAATGGTGCAATTGCTGAAAAGGGGGAGGGGTAAATTACAGGATTTTTATTTAGGTTTGTTTGGTCTTGGTTGTTTGTTTTTCCCCAATGGATACTGAAGGGGGCAACTGTTAGGACGGCAGGGTCAGCCAGTGTTTTCAGAAATGTTTTCTGCAGGGAAAAGATGGAAAATGAAAATGCGAATTTGAAGGGAGCTGAGGAACAGTCCACACAACTGAAGCTAAGAGAACGCCGTTTAGAAAAGTGTTTTAATAAAGAGGTCCTGGCAAAGGCAACAGAAAAAAGGATGACATGGGCTCGGCGAAGCTCAACGCTGCCCTTGCGGCAAGAGCTCGCGGGGGTTGCAGGCCCCTTGTCCCGTTAACCTTGCAAGAGCAAGAACGCTCGATCCCAGTCTTCCTTGGGAAGGTGCAAAGACACAAACAGCCGTACTTACCTCGTGTGGAGTGTCGCACACCGCCAATCCCACCAAGCCGGTCGTCTGTTCGGAAACAAAACACGACCCTGCTGTTTACCGTAATCCCACGCGTAACCGCGCGCAAGAAAAGCCAGCCCGCCCATCCCCGGGTCGCCGGGCCCGAGCCCGCGGATTAGCCGACCTTCCGGACACAACTACGACCCCTGTCGCCCCTGCCAGGACAGCGGAACAATTCCCCCAACCCGTCCTCTTAGCGTCTCCACCCACGGATGAGGGGGACGCGGCTGTCTACCACCCCATCCACAGCACCACAATGACCTCCATAGGCTCACCTTCTTCAGTACGCCCGCCATGACAGCGCCCAGAGCCTCCAGCGCACAGCCCTCTGGGAACCTTTCCCAGGCCCGCTCAATCGAGCGTAGACGCCGCTCATGGGTCACCTAAGAAACCACTTGGCTCCAACCGCTCGGGCGGGGCAGGGGGTAACTCCCGCCCACCTAGGAGGGGAAGATTTGCGCTTGCGCAGCGCGTACACGCGGCTCTACGTAGGGCTTTTCCTTAACAGAGACTGACACTGACGCCTCTGTTAAGGCTAAAGGTTAAGAAAAACGCTAAGCTACGAAAAACTTCCAATATAGTCACTGCAGGGACTTTGATTTTGCTAAGACTTTGACTGATGTTTTATCCGCACCTCCTCAGCTTTATTAAAATGAGGGTGGAAGCAGGCCGGAGCACCATGAAACAAATGCTCTCCCTCCACATGTGTAAATACATACTCATACGTGGAAACTATAAAGTGGAATTAACCATTTGATGCATCCGTTTGCTCCTGAGGAGACTGATGAATGAAAGGTTATGAAGTCACAGTCTTTGTTCCAATGGGAGTTTATGAGGTCATAGTCTCTGTTGTCTGTCCCTCCAGATCCTAAGAACATCTGTCATTGTTGAGTGTGTTCTAGAATGTGGAATCATGGCTTTATAAAAGATGCATGTGTTCTCTGTAACTTTGGATCCAAGCGTCTGCAGGGCAGTATTTGCTAAAGACATCGAGAGTAGACAGACTTGGCTGATCCAGGCTATGAGGTACTACAAAAACCGATCCCTTCCATGTGGTACAAAAATAAGTAGGTTTCTGAACCAACCTTTTGTAGATGGGCACACTGAATGAAAGCTTGCTAGTGGTATCCTAAGCTAGAGACACTGGAAGTCACTATAAAGTAGGTAGGTTTCTGAACCAACCTTTTGTAGAAGGGCACACTGTGAATGAAAGCTTGCTAGTTGTATTCTAAGCTAGAGACAGTAGAATTCACTATACAGGGACACATCTCGTGGCATCTGTGATATCAGAAGGGGATCTAGGAATGTTTTAACAAACATTGTAAGAATAGAATGTTCTGGGCTCTCAGGTGGTAGAAGTGCACTATATGACCTACCCAGAGGAGTAAATATCCCAATCCTGGGAAAGATGGATGTTAGGAAAGTTTGTAAATGCCAGAGAGAAGTCTGAGGCAGGAAAACTAGAGCCAAACTCTTGACATCTTATAGAATTGACTCTTCATGCCCTCTCACTTCCAACCAGAGTTGGAGCCTGTGGTTCTGCTTCTCAGGGATTGGGGACTTTTTTTTGTGAGAGGTTCCATCTTAACACAATTAGGTGGTTGATGAAATCCAGGGTTCTGATTCAAGGGAGGAAAAAACTAGGGAAAACAATGGAAAGAAAGCATCTTGGTGCCTGGGTAATGGTGAGGTCATTTGCCTGAGGGGACAGTTTCTTCCTTTTACATAATTCTCTTATCATTCATGGCAAGTACCAAAAGTGATGACAATGCCAAACCAGACAGTTTATCCCCCTCTCCAAAACCTAGCTAGCCCTGTTTGAGTCATTAAAGAAGAATAAGTTAAACAAACCCCAGACACTTGGAGGAGATGTTCTCTCATACCATTTGTTCAGAAACAGGCTCAACAAAACTAATGAGTAAAATTGTTCCGTGTGACCAGTTTCAAAAGGAATGAGCAGTATGCAGCCTACCTCTGAGAAGGTGATATTTATGTGCAGACGTGGGGCTGAGTAAAGAATTAGTGTTACACAGAACCAGCTAAAGGATGCTGCAGCCAGAGGGAACAGTCAGTGTAAGGGTCCAGTGATTCACCGAAGAATGATACCCAAATACTCAAATAGTATGTAAGCGCATGTAAGTGTTTTATTCTACAGAAGTCCAGCATGCTGGGGTCTTCTGTTACTAAGACAGAGAGACAAACAAGTGTACTTGCAGGCCTGATTTAAAGCACAATAGGGCATTCTGGGGTAGGTAATTCTTACCTTACTCCATCTCTAAGCACAGTCTGTTACTGGGGAATGGGGATTGGAAACGATTGGTAAGGAAGTAGCTGAGGAAGTCTGGAAACTGCTGCTGACCCACTGTCCTTGCCTCAGGCCAGGTGGCAGGCAGCTTCTGAGGCCTGGACTTGCTTGGAATTGCCCAGTTCTTGGAAACACAGATTTAGGCCTAGTCTCCTTAACTGCCGATTTGAAGCCTGTCAGGGAATCAGCCTAGCTTTCTCATCAGAACTGAGAACTGAGAATCCTGTTCCCTGGAGAGTTTCAAGGCCAAAAGCATTTGACCAAGACACCTTGTGTATAAACGCAAAAACCTTCAACTGTCAGAGCGCTCTGACTAAACTGGACTCTCCCACTTTCACTTTAGCCAAGCCTACTTCTTGGAAGTTTTCCACTAGGAAAAAGGAAGAAACAATAACAAAAATGTCATGTTTGCTAATAGCACTAGTTAAGACATTTAAAGAGCAGTACAATGGGGTAACAAAACAATGAATTTAAAGCGTGGTGCCTGCTTTTGGGGCTGACAGGCAAATGGAGAACATCTGGGCTAACCACTGGGGCAAAGAATACATCAGAACCTCCCTAATTCTTCCTAAATTTACAAAAAGCTTTTACAGTAGTACAGAGTGGAATTTTCATACTAATCCACATGTTTTGAAAGCCTGGGTAAATAGTGTAATCATGTGCCCCTGCCCCCTTAAAATTTCATAGTGAACATAGCTTTGGGGCCTAAGGGCTTCCTTGTTTATAACACAAAATATTAAGTAAAACAGAATGTATAACTTATAACGAAGAAAGAAATAATCTTAGAAGTCTTTATAATTAACCAGCTTGCCCTTTCTTTGCTACAGTATAATCTTGTACTGCAAATATAGTTGAAACATCCCAAACACTGCCTCTTCCCTCTTCCAGTTAATTCATGAGCCATACAGCTTTTTGACCAGCAGGTGGTGACAGAAGTTAATGACAATTTTACATCACTTAGATAATGAAGGGTTTTGCTGGTTGTTGGGGTTTTTTTTTTTGGTTTGGTGTGTGTGTGTGTCTGTGTGTATGTGTATGCGCGTGCGCCCTCGCGTGTTGTTTTACAAGTTCTGGCGGATCCATTTGTGATGAAATATAATCATTACAGCATAAAAGAGTCTGGCCCAGACTATCTCAGCATCATGTAGATGGGGAAGGGGGGAAAAAGTCTGTTTCAAAGTAGCAGGAACTCAGAGTCCACCTGGCGTTCAAATGATCGTAGTTAATAACAGTAAATAACTAAAGAAGCCTCGATCGTGTGGCCTTGCATGATACTTCAGTGTGGTACAACACATGCATTTTTAGGAGAGACTGTGAGACTGACTAATGGAGCTGGAGAAATAAGGTAATAAAAAGGAGTCCTTGCGTTGTCAGAGCCTGGAATGAGACTGGGCTGGAGAAGGGTGCGTATGATTATAGTGAAATCCTGCTGAGCAAGAGGAATGACAGGAACGTTCACAGCGGCTCAACAGCAAAGGAGGGGGAGGAAGAAAATCAAGTGGAATCTACATCATATCTTAAGAGCATAGCTGCCTGTGCTGGCTGTGGGGGAGCTGGCAAAGAGACTCTTAGGGAAGCTATGGGACAGAAGCAAATCAAACAAAACTGTTTCTTGTAAGTGGGGAGTTTGAGACAAAGGATGCAGAAGGGAGTACAGCCTGGAGTGACTTAAACAAGTGATTTGGACAACTAGAAATATGAAGCATGTAATGTTTCTTGAATAAAAATGTGTTCCAATGGGGCATGGTTAAATCTTTGCCAGCCCTTAGGTGCTCCCGTCTTTCACACCATGTGATTCCTCCTGGTGGTTTTCATTCTGTCCTTTCACAGAAGGCTGCTGGGGCTGCTGTCATTATTGGACCCTTATGAGTCCTCCTGGCTTGCTTCCGTTGAGTTGTTTTATCCCCTCTTATGGCGTGTTTAAGAGAGGATCAGGTAAAACTGAATACGATAGGAAACTGCCTCCGGGTTTCCTCATTTACTCTGCTTTGTGCTTGCATTGCTTTGTTTAGGCTGGGGGGGGGGATGAAAGGGAAGGAATTTACAAATTTAACCATATTATTTTGACTGAATGTTATTCAATGATCACTTTTATAAGTCTTTGATGATATTACAAACAAATGAAAGTTGTATTTTGAAGTTGTATGAAAAATAAAGCAAATCTATTTCCAATGATTCTTAGTTCCATGCTCAATCTCTTTACTGGTTCATATTCTTTCCCCTAAAGGTCCCTTGGAGTCACTTTCTCTGTTGTTTCTTTTGTGGAAAATTGCCCACCAAACCCTTTCTTCTTTTGATTGGCTGTCTGAGTATTTCTCTCTACTCTGTTTGAGTTTCTCAGCCCTTTAGAACTGCTTCTAAGTAACTCGCTAAGCCAGATACCTTCCAAAACACTGACTCTCCAACCTTGGAGGGCACTAGAGTCCTCTGAAGGTTTATTCAAACAGAGAATGCTGGACCTCAGCCAATAACTGTCCCAAACTGCCCTCCCCTCCTAAATTCTAGTTTATGATGCTTATCAGGATTTTGAAGTCTATCATAAGACCTAAATGTGAACTTCTAACAACTTCCCAGATGATGTTAGGGAAAGGGTGTGGACCAGACTTTGGAAACACTGTTTTACATAGGATGTTGCCTACATCCCAGCCCTGTCCTACTTAGTATACCCTGTAGTAGTCCCATAGTCAGTAGCATCAGGCCTACCTGCCCACATTTGAAGACTCCCCCACACATAGTTAGTATCTCATCCTACCTACCCTTTCATTGCCCATCTCTCCCAAAATCTTACAATCCTGCATTTCTTCCCATCAATACCCTGTACTTTGCATAAAAGATTTTCTCAGGCAACAAGATTTTGAGAAATAAATTCACTTCTTCCCCCAGCAGCAAGCAGTGGAAGTGGTCCCTGTCTCATTTTACCTTGATGCGTTCTTATTTCTTTATCTCTTTTTTTTTTCTCTCAGTCTTTGATTCTTCATTGAATTGTTATTGATTCTATTAGTTCCCAGGTCCTTTGGATTCTAGGACACAAAAGAGCGAAAATAAGGCGAGAGGTAAAAATAGAATGTGTATAGGTTAATCTTTCTCTTAGTCAATGAGGTTCATTTACATTTTGGGTGTGAGAAATATAGCTGGGTCATACTCTGGTCATTTAAAAAATATTTTCCTATACATCAATTTTTATTTGTAGTTTATTAAGTATTTTGGGGGGGCTGACTTTTTTAAATTTAGTGGATAACTCTAATAAACATAACCCCCTTGATTTTTGGTTTTGTTGTATAGTGTCTATTAGTACTCTGATGGGGGAAAATATATTATATCCCTCCTCCTGTCTCTTCTGCATCTCTTCTTATATGGATGTTAGTAAAAGCTTGTGTTTCTCAGCATTTGCGTTCATATAGATATACTTGAACTTCCAGTATTTGCTACATCATTCAGGGTATCTCCTTTCACCTACATTACTCCAGCTGAGACATCCAATACCACTTGACTTCTCTCTTGTGTCTTAAGTTTATTAATAGATTCGGCTCTGATTTCAGGGCATAGAACAGCAGCATTCTTCTTGGTAATCCAGGCGTTATGTTTACACAATCACTGGTCCTATAGTAGAGTGTTTCCAGTGGCCTTCACTAATCTGCTTCTCATGCTTATTTCTGTTTTTATAATTTTATTCAAGTCAGTCTCTAGCAACTCTCCAAAGGTATTGTGGGATTCTTCCAGT